GCAGGTCCGCCTCCAGGACCGACAGCAGCAGCCTCAGCGCCAACAACCTCTGCAGCACCAGCTCTTGTCGCACCCGGAGGGCCAGCAGCTCCAGTACTCTCAGCACGAGAACCTTCGGGACCCGCGGCACCAGCACCCTCAGCAGTTGGAGAACCTCCAGCTCCAGCAGCACGCCTCCAGCGCTGGGCAAACCACTCACGCAGCTCATGTGGAGAGAGGGGCTCCCATCGAGACGAAGCACCTGGAGAACCTCCAGGACCAGCACCGCCAGACGCCACACGAGTAGGCCCAACTCCCTCAGGCTCCGCACCTCCACGCTCAGCATCCCCAGGCGTAGCACCCCCAGGCTCAGCACCCCCAGGCTCAGCTCCCCCAAGCGCAGCACCCACGGGCTCAGCACCCCCAGTCGCAGCACCCCCAGGCTCAGCACCCCCAGTAGGAGCACCCGCAGGCTCAGTACCCCCAGAGTCAGCACCCCCAGGCTCAGCACCCTCAGCAGCACCAGAGTCACCAGTGACCTTGACAGGCTCGAGTGCGTCTACCTGGGACACACCTGAAGGGGCAAGACCCTGAGGGGGGAGGGGGTCTACCGGGGGGGGACCTGGTACAAAGAAGAGCGGCGGCGGGGGGAGGGACGGAGTGCGGTAGGGGAAGAGGCGGTAGTAGGGGACCGACTCGTCAAACGTGACGTCCTGGGAGGACAGAACACAGCGAGAGGTGGGGTGGTAGAACTGCCACCCTGGCGCGTCAGGGGGGAAGCCAAGGAAGACGCAAGGAGCAGCACAAGGGGACAGCTTGTCCGCAGACAAGTCGCGAACAAACGCCCGAGATCCCCAGACACGGAACGCAGACGCATGGCCAACCTTCCCCGTGCACAGCAAAGCGGGGGAGGTCTCCGGCATGGAGACCCTGGGGTGAAGGTTGATCTGATGCGCCGCGTACCGAACCGCAAACGGCTACAGAAAATGGGGGGCAGCCGCATGCATCAGGGGCGTACGAGCGACATCCATGACCATGCCAATGCGGCGCTTAGCAATCCCATTTTGCTGTGGGGAGTCCGGAAGCGTGAAGGTCTGGCGGATGCCTCGTGCACGTCAGTAGGCTCGCAGAAGGCCAGAGGAGAACTCTCCGCCTCTGTTAGAGTGCAGACGGAGAACAGGAAAGTCTGAGTCGAAGCTCTGCCTGAGATGGAGACGAGCTGCGCAGATCCAGTCGATCAACAACGCAGTGACATCACCCTTGGTGCGCAAGGGGAAGACTGTGGTGTAACGCAAGTAGTCGTCAACCACCAGCAGGAAGTAGCGCTCGTGACCCTGTCCGCGGACGCGGGCCGGGCCCCACACGTCCATGTGAAGCGTCTGCAACGGGGCCTCTGTCGAAGGAAACTGGGAGGAGTGAGGGGCAGCCCGCTGCCGCCCCTCGACACAGGGGACGCAGGTAGGGCCAGGCCCAGGAGGAAGGGGAGGGAGGGACCGGGGAAGACCGGAGACAAGGACACGGGAGGCCATGCCTCGGAGACGAAGCAGGGAGGGGTGACCAAGGCGGTGGTGCCAAAGGAGAGTCTCGTGAGACAGGACGCGACACGAGCAGGGGGCAGACTCAGGACCAGACCTGGACGCTGCAGCAAACACCTGACCCGACGCAGCTACCTGACCAGACGCAGTGACTGGAGGAGACGCAGTGGTCAGTGTGTACAGGCTCGACCCCGGCCGACGTGTAAACGTGGCCAGGTGTCGGCCTGTCCGAGCGTCCGTGCAGTGGGTCACCCGCTGACGCGCAGGAGTGAACTGGTGAACCCCCGCATCCTGTAGGTCAGCACCACTCACCAAGTTCGTAGAGAACGAGGGGAGGTAAAGACCAGACAGGGTGCCAGAGGGGGCCGCCGGACACGGGAGGACAGTGGAGTAGTGAGCAAGGACAGGACCCCCAGAGGGGTCTGCCAGAGAGACTGCAACTGGCCGACCAAGCGGCGTGAGTGTGGTGCGGTCTCGAAAGAAGGAGCGAGAAGCCCCCGAGTCAAGGGTGAAGGTGTGGGACGCCGAAGTCGACGCAGTACCTGAGAGAGCATACTCACCAGCACCTGAGGGAGCAGACGCACGAGCACCTAGAGCAGCAGCCTCGCTAGCACCTAGAGCAGCAGCCTCACCAGTACCTAGAGCGGCAGTCTCAATGCTCGGGTCGGGCGGAAAACACCGGTAACAGTCACCCTCATCACTTATAGTCACAGCATATATGGCAGCAAGAATAGCATCAAAGTCAAGGTCAAAGACAGCTACTCCCGCCCTGGACAGCTCACCCCAGCGGGGGATCTCCATGGCCTCCGAAAACTGGTGACGCCAAGCGTCCGTCAGGCGGCCAAAGCAGCGCTGGGTGGAGTGCGCACCCCCACACTGCTCACCCGCGCGGTCGCCGGTGCGTAGGACGTACGTGCACGGACCAGTACCCCCACCCCGCTGGCGTGCAGTGTACCACTCACGGAGCTGCTAAGGGGAGGGGATGTCACGAGTGCGCTACTGCTGCTGCTGCTGCTGCTAGCGCTGACCTCCACCGGAGCCGACCCTCTGCGCAGTGCCACCCCGACCAGCTCCACCTCCTCCGCCACCGCCTCCTCCACCGCCGCCACCTCCGCCACCACCTCCGCTCGCACCGCCACCGCCGCCTCCTCCGCCTCCACTGCCGCCACCGACACCTCCACCCCCGCCACCACCTCCACCGCCACCCCCACTCCCTCCGCCGCCTCCACCGCCGCCTCCACCTCCCCCGCTAGCTCCTCCAGCGCCCCTGCCCCCTTTGCCCTTGCCAGGGCGGCGTCTCCCGCTAGGGGCAGACGCCGCACCGACCAACTCAAGCCCAACGAGGTCGGCCGCAGCAGCAGAGGCAACAGAGGGCAAAAGGGGGGAGGGGGAACACCCCTCAAAGATGGGGGTGCGAGGGTCACCACGAGAGGCTCCTACAGCGACTATGCTCTTCTCCGCTGCTAGGAGGGCCTTCTCGAGGAGGTCAACGGTGAGGGTGGTGGGGCAAACTGAGAGGAAGTGGTCCCTGACTACGCGAAGGGAGTCAGGGAGGCGGGTGACTATGTAGTAGAGAGTGATATACATGGGGGGGGGGGGGGGGGTTCTTGGCGCAGAACTCAGCAGAAAGCGCAGCGCGGTAGCGAGTGTCACTAGTGCGGAGGTGCGTAATGAGGTCAGCGACTGTGGGAAAGGCAGCAAGGTCAGGGAAGAGGTACGGTAGCATGAGGCGGCTCAGTGCAGCAGTGGCAGGGGAGGAGTAGCGTGCAACTACAGCGTCGTACAAGGTCTGAGCACTCTTGTACCGGCTAAAGTGCGCACGCTCAGAGGTAGGCAGGTGGCGACGCACAGCAAGACGTGCAGCAGCATCGCGTGTGGCCCACTGTGAGCGAACAGTGGCGTCAGCCGCAGCAGCAGGGGCGGGAGAGGCACCAGAGGTGAGGTCAAAGAGGGAGAGACCGTCTGCCCTATCGCACTGTAGGAAAAGCTGCAGGTCATCTACCCAGACATCAAAGTCAATGGCCCGACCCTCAGCGTCAAAAGCGAGGACACTAGGGGTAGCCATGACAGCAGTAGACTAGTAGCGCGAACAGTGGGGTAAGGGCAGTGCAGTGACAGAGGCGCTGCTCTTACCGGACAGGGCGGCTCGGGCAGCTCGGCGGCTCGGCAGCTCGGCAGGAACTGCAGCTCGGCGGCTCGGCAGGAACTGCAGCTCGGCGGCTCAGCTACTCTGCGGCTCGGGCGGCTCGGGCGGCTCGGGCGGCTCGGGCGACTCGGGCGGCTCGGGCGGCTCGGCGGGACGGCGGCTCGGGCGGCTCGGGCGGGACGGCGGCTCGGACGGCTCAGGTGGCGCGGCGGCTCGGGTGGCGCTGGCGGCTCGGCAGTAGCCCGGCGGGGCCGCGTGCAGACGGGGTCGGGGCCAGGAAGGGCGTGCGACGGGGCCAGCAGGGGTTGGGCCGGGGCCGGGAAGGGGCGGCGCCGGGGCCCTAGGGTAGGCGACGGGGCCAGCGGAGACTGGGCCGGGTGGGGAAGGGTGGTGTCGGGGACGAGAAAGGGCGGCGCCTGAGCCGGGAAGGGCAGCGACGGGGCCGCAGGTAGGCGACGGGGCCGCAGGTAGGCGACGGGGCCGAAGGTAGGCGGCGGGGCCGCTGGTAGGCGACGGGGCCGCAGGTAGGCGACGGGGCTGCAGGTAGGCGACGGGGCCACAGGTAGGCGATAGGGCCGCAGGTAGGCGACGGGGCCGCAGGGTCGGGGCCGGGTCGGGAAGGGCGGTGCGAGGGCCTCGGGGTAGGCGACGGGGCCGAAAGGGCGGCGAATCGGGGCCGGGATGGGCAGCTCAAGGGCCGCGGGGTAGGCGACGGGGCCGCTAGGGCGGCGGATCGGGGCCGTCAAGGGCGGCGCGACACAGCCGCTAGGGCGGCGCGACACTGTGAGAAAGGGGGGGGGGGAGCGCGACTCGGGCAAGGGCTGAGCGCGCTCCGGGCAGGAAAAAAAAAAAAATCGAATCGGTGGGCCCTAGGAACAGTTCCCACGAGGGAACCTGCTCGATACCATGAGAAAACTGAAACGAGAATGAATGCACTATGAAAGAGTTGGGTACAAGTACTAACCCTAATTGGGTTGTACCCTATATGGGCTACCCCACTATAGCCTACACAAAAGCATAAGCTATAATGTTCTGACAGACCTGAATTACTCAACGGAAGTCAACGCTAAAAACTAAGTTCGGGAGGCAGGCACGGAGAGGTTCGGTTGGGTTGCGAGAGACTTTCACTCGCGAAACCAATTTGCGACAAAAGTTTCTCGCTTCCCATGGTGGGTGGGGTCCTTCCTACAACTAGAACAGCACGTGCATACCAAACTGTGCACAGTTTGAGATAGCACGCAGAGTAATAGGCATAGACCATACCTGTAGACAGGGCAGGGCATCGGCGTTCACTCAAAAGGGATCAGATGCGCCTTACGATGTGGGTGGCTCAGATTTTGATGATGACGCGCAAAGCTAGTGCTCGCTGGGTGAAGATTTTTGTGTCGAAGTGCATTTTATTGTACAACTACTGTGTAGCGTAAACTCGCGGCGAAAATCGAATCGCACCCGTTCGCCCAAGCGTGACCCTCCCCTCGCCCTCGCTTTCATTTCCCTAGGTCCCACGCTTCCGCTCTCTATCGCCCGCGTCGTCGCCATCGCTTCCGCAGCTCGTCGCGTTCGCGACCCCTGCCCGTCGCCTTCGCTCCGCCCGTCGCCTTCACTTCCCCCCCGTTGCCTTCAACCCCCCCCCCCCCCCTTCCCCCCCCTTCCGTCGCCTTCACTTCCCCCTCTCGTCGCCTTCACTTCCCCCTCCCGTCGCCTTCACTTCCCCCTCCCCTCACCTTCACTTCCCCCTCCCGTCGCCTTCACTTCCCCCTCCCGTCGCCTTCACTTCCCTTCCCGTCTCCTTCATTTCCCCCTCCCGTCGCCTTCACTTCCCCTTCCCGTCGCCTTCACTTCCCCCTCCCGTCGCCTTCACTTCCCCTTCCCGTCACCTTCACTTCCCCCTCTCGTCGCCTTCACTTCCCACTCCCGTCGCCTTCACTTCCCCCTCCCGTCGCCTTCACTTCCCCCTCCTCTCGCCTTCACTTCCCCCTCCCGTCGCCTTCACTTCCCCCTCCCGTCGCCTTCATTTCCCCCTCCCCGTCGCCTTCACTTCCCCTCCCGTCTCCTTCATTTCCCCCTCCCGTTGCCTTCACTTCCCCTTCCCGTCGCCTTCACTTCCCCCTCCCGTCGCCTTCACTTCCCCTTCCCGTCGCCTTCATTTCCCCCTCTCGTCGCCTTCACTTCCCCTCCCGTCTCCTTCATTTCCCCCTCCCGTCGCCTTCACTTCCCCTTCCCGTCGCCTTCACTTCCCCCTCCCGTCGCCTTCACTTCCCCTTCCCGTCGCCTTCACTTCCCCCTCTCGTCGCCTTCACTTCCCCCTCCCGTCGCCTTCACTTCCCCCTCCCGTCGCCTTCACTTCCCCTTCCCGTCGCCTTCACTTCCCCCTCCCGTCGCCTTCACTTCCCCTTCCCGTCGCCTTCACTTCCCCCTCTGGTCGCCTTCACTTCCCCCTCCCGTCGCCTTCACTTCCCCCTCCCGTCGCCTTCACTTCCCCCTCCCGTCGCCTTCATTTCCCCCTCCCCGTCGCCTTCATTTCCCCCTCCCCGTCGCCTTCACTTCCCCCTCCCGTCGCCTTCACCTCCCCCATTTCCCCCCTTCACGCTCTCTTACCCCCTCTGCTCGCCCCTGTTTTCCCGGCTCACTCCTATACTCACTCTCTCCCTCCCTGCTCACTCTCTTCCCCCCTGCTCACTCTCTCCCCCCCTGCTCATTTTCTTTCCCCCTGTTCTCATCCCTCTTTCCCCCTTTCTCACCCATTTCCCCCTTGCTCGGTCTATTTCCCCCTGTGCTCGCCCCTAAAATCCCTTGCTCACTCCCTTACCCCTTGTTCACTCTCTCCCCCTCTGGTCACTCTCTTTCCCCCTGTACTCACCCATCTTTCCACCCTGTTTACTCTCTATTCCCCTTTGTTCAACCCTTTTTCCCCCCCAAGTCCTCTCATTTCCCCTCCTTAGCCCCATGCTTACTGGTTATCCCCTTTGCTTACCGCCTTCTCCACCCTGCTCTGCTCACTCTGTTCCCCGCTTCGCTCACTCCTCTGCCTAACTCCTCCCATACATGCCCTCCACCTTCACCCCTCGCTTATTCTACCATATCCCCTCTTCCCTCCCTGTTCCATACAGAACCATGCGTGTACAGGTGCCAGCACCATGGGTCCCAACAGGAGTGGGTTAAAAAGTTACCACCTCCTAGCTTTGTGCTCGTGCGTAGAGTCTTGTCTTGGCAACATAAATGGAACATTATTTTGCTTTGTTGCACTTTTTCATAATGCTCCAAATCACGATGTGGTGTATTATGAGACGCATCCAACCAACTTCAATAACGGTACATGGCATAGCTATTGTAAACAACTAATATTATCACACCCTATACTCATCACAACTGGATGCATGGCATACCTGCACAGACACGAACCACCAACTCTGATGGAGGGTGGGGAACAAAGAATGCACTGAGGCAGAAAATGAGCAAGGGAGACACGGAGGAAGGGCGGAAGGGTGAGCGAGATGAAGCGTGGGTAGGGGAGAGAGAGCACGGAAAGGCACTAAGGCAGAAGCGTGGGCGACGGTGAGAGGATGGGCGGATGAGATGATGGGCGGATGAGAGGATGGGCAGATGAGATGATGGGCGGATGAGATGATGGGCGGATGAGATGATGGTCGGATGAGAGGATGGGCGGATGAGATGATGGGCGGATGAGAGGAAAAAGTGCGGCTGGGTACAAGGGGGAAGGTAGAAGGGTGGAACGGAGGAGCAGGGTTGGCGTGAGGAAGGGAGTGGGAGAGTGGGAGATGGAAAGGGGAAGGGGGACTGGATCGAGGGAGGATGAGGAGAGGAAGAATGGCAGGAAAGAAGGATGGGAGGAAGGGAGGACGGGCAACAGAGAGGGTAAAGAGGGTAGGGAGGCAGAGAGATGGAGGAAGGGAGGAAGGGAGGACGGGCAACAGAGAGGGTAAAGAGGGTAGTGAGGCAGAGAGATGGAGGAAGGGAGGAAGGGAGAGGGAGAGGAGGACGATTGTGGGGGAACGACGGAACGGAGTGAGGGAGGAGGGCAGGAGGTAAAAGTGTGGTAGGGTATAAGGGTGGAACGGGGGATAGGAGGATCCCTGCACCCTCTCTCCCTAACCCCCGCCTCCCCTGCCCCGCCTCCCCCGCTCCCCAGACCCGCCCCCTGCAGCACTGCACTCCTTGCTGCCCGCCTGCACGCGCTGCCCTGGCTGTGCACCAAACACTCTGCTCCAAAGCCGCACCACCACCTGCCATGCGTGTGGGGTTGGTGCAAGAGAGGAGAGGAGGTCAGTGCAAGAGAGAGAAGGGTGGGTGCTGCTGACCACGCACTCTTCCACACCCCACAGCAAACAAGTCACGACCCCTTCCCCAGCTCCCAGCCCAGCTCGCCATACCTCCCCGCCCAGGGTGGGTGAGAGGCTGATGGGGAGGGAGAATGAGAGAGAAGGAAATAAGGGTGCAAGGGTGGGGTGGTAACCATGGGCGATGGTAGGAGTAGAGAAGGTGGTAATGGGGAGAGCGTAAGCGACCTAACGAGGAAATTTGGAAGGGATACAACGACGACCCTAAATGCGATGGGAAGGGATGAGAGGGTGGGCGGCATGGGTGGAGACGCGATGGTGAATAGGGGGAACGTGATGGGTAGGGGAGTGATGACGGCGTGGAGAGAGGTGGGAGAGAAGGGAGGTCGGCGGGAAGTCTAACCGAGGGCGATGGGAGGGTAAGCGTGGGCGACAGTGGGGGTGGGCGACGGTGGCGGTGGGCGACGGTGGGGGGAAGCGTGGGCGACGGTGGGGGGAAGCGTGGGCGACGGTGGGGGGAAGCGTGGGTGACGGTGGGGGGAAGCGTGGGCGACGGTGGGGGGAAGCGTGGGCGACGGTGGGGGGAAGCGTGGGCGACGGTGGGGGGAAGCGTGGGGGAAGGCAGGAGGAAGCGTGAGCGGAGGTAAGGGGAAGCGTGAGCGACGATGGGGGAAAGCGTGGGCGATGGTGAGTGGAAACGTGGGCGTGTGCGTGGGGAGGTGTGTGAGAGACGGTGGGGAGAAGCGTGGGGGACGCGGAAGGCGATAGGTCCAAATGCGATGTTTGGGGATGGGCTAGGATTAAATGTGAAAATGCTCATGGCCTATGCTTTAGTGGCTTTTTATTCTATCTCTTCGGATGATCTTATCGCTTCGCGTACTATGGAAATCGCACGACCTGAATTACCAAAGGAGGCAAAATGTGCACATTTTGAGCCCTTGTTCCTTCAGGTGGGTGTGGTTGGGACTCTCGCCAACCAAACCCGTTCTGCTCTACGACACTCTGTTTTTTTGCGCTTTGTTTTCTGGTAACCAGCCTGGCTCGGGAGGTCAACTGTGGGTTCGGTAGGCAAACTGTGCACAGTAGGCGCGCGGCGGAAGCAGCCGTAGGCGCGCGGCGGGATGAAAAATAGGTAGCACGCCACGGGGCGTGCGACAGATCAAGAAGCAGCGGAAGCAGGTTGGTGGGCCCACAAGCCAAGGAAGGACACACTCTGATAGCATGTTAAAAGTACGAGCAGAAAGTTTAGAACAAGAAAGAGGGGTTGCACTAGCAAGCAGTTGAGTACATATAGGAAACCCTAGATTGGGCTGTACTCGCTATAGAGTACCTCACTGCAGGCTAGACAAATACAACATTCTGACACTTTCATAGTCTTAGTTTCTTCAACATTTTATTCCCTGGTTAAAATATCATTCATTCTCTCTTATCGTTTGTTCCTCCTTGATGAGAGTTTTACATTGGTATTTCTTGTTGTAATCTGTTTACTTGTAGTTGTGGTATCTGATGGTTCGTTGGGGCTACTTAACTGTTGTTTCCACTTCTATTCGAATGATGTAAGAAATTCTTGCTTTCAAATTGTCATGTATTTCTGCTTTTTATTGGTGTTGTATCAGTTGTAAGACAATAATTAAATAATGCACGTGTGCCCCCTTTTCTCCCATTATGCCTTGTTATTTCCCATTTGCCTTCCCTTCCTCAACCCAGCTTTGTCTTACCCTCCAGGCAGTCGAGCTCAATATGAGAAATAGACTGATAATGCTTGTGATTTACGGTATAGGATACATGTTGTCTTTGTGATTTAGGTTTTTATTTCATCTGCGGTTAATATGCTTTGTCAATTGGCTTCGTGCGTGCGCGTATATGTGAATGCGTATGATCATGTGTATGCGTTGTGTTGTGTGCGTTTGTGCTTTCATTCATGTTTCCATTGTCAGATTATTATAGCTGATGCATGTTTGTAGGCTATAGTGGGGTAGCACATATGGGGTACAGCTTTCTAGGGTTGTATTTGTACCCAACCCTGACTTAGTCATTTCATTCCTGATCATTTATTCTCACATGGTATCAGAGCGAGTTCCCTGTGGGAACATTGCCTAGGGCCCACCGAAGCGCGCCCCGAAGCGCGCATTTTTTTAGCGACCCCTCGAGTCGCCCTTTCCCTCGTGGCCCCGCCGTCCCTCAGACGCGGCCCCGCCACCCCTTCTGATCGCGGCCCCGCCACCCGATCCCGGCCCCGCCGCCACGTCGCGGCCCCGCCGCCCGATCGCGGCCCCGCCGCCCGCTACGACGCGGCCCCGCCGCCTGATCTGACGCGGCCCCGCCGCCACCTCTGACGCGGCCCCGCCGCCTGATCTGACGCGGCCCCGCCGCCGCCTCTGACGCGGCCCCGCCGTCACCTCTGACGCGGCCCCGCCGCCTGATCTGACGCGGCCCCGCCGCCGCCTCTGACGCGGCCCCGCCGCCTCCTCTGACGCGGCCCCGCCGCCTGATCTGACGCGGCCCCGCCGCCGCCTCTGACGCGGCCCCGCCGCCTGCTCTGACGCGGCCCCGCCGCCCACTACGACGCAGCCCAGCCGCCGACTACGCCGCCGGCCCCGCCGCCTGCTCAGCCGCGGCTCCGCCGCCCTCTCTGCCGGCTCCGCTGCTCCACCAGCCGCGGCCCCGCCGTCCCCGCCGCTGCACCTGCCGGCCCTGCTACTTCGGCCCCGCTGCCCCTGATCTCGCGGCCCCGCCACCCTACCTGCAGCAGCCGAGCCGCCCACCTGCAGCAGCCGAGCAGCAGTGCAGCCGAGCCGCCCCGCACCCGAGCCGCCCTGCCGCCGAGCCGCCCGGGAGCCGAGCCGCCCTACCGCCGAGCCGCCCGGGAGCCGAGCTGCCCTGAACCAGCGCCGCCCTGTCACCGAGCCGCCCGGGAGCCGAGCCGCCCAGCAGCCGAGTCGCTGAGTAGCCGAGCCGCCCTTCTGCAGAGTTGTCAGGCCTGCCCTGCCTGGTGAGCACAGTCCCACTGTCACTGCGTGCTCTTCCCCCACTGCTTGCACTGCTTCGCTGTCGTCGTCATGGCTACCCCTAGTGTCCTAGATTTTGACGCTGAGGGTCGCGCCATTGACTTTGAGGTCTGGGTAGACGACCTGCAGTTATTTTTACAGTGCGATAGGGCAGACGGCCTCTCTCTCTTTGACCTTACCTCTGGCGCCTCTCCTGCTCCTGCTGCTGATGCTGCGCCTCTCCTGCTCCTGCTGCTGATGCTGATCCCACTGTGCGCTCTCAGTGGGCCACCCGCGATGCTGCTGCACGTCTTGCTGTGCGTCGCCACCTCCCTACCTCTGAGCGCGCGCACTTTAGTCAGTACAAGAGTGCTCAGACCTTGTACGACGCTGTAGTTGCGCGCTACTCCTCCCCTGCCACTGCTGCACTGAGCCGTCTCATGCTTCCCTACCTCTTTCCTGACCTCTCTGCCTTTCCCACAGTCGCTGACCTCATTACGCACCTCCGCACTAGTGACACTCGCTACCGCGCCGCCCTTCCTGCTGAGTTCTGCGCTAAGAACCCCCCCCCCATGTACATCACTCTCTACTACGTAGTCGCACGCCTCCCTGACTCCCTTCGCGTAGTCAGGGACCACTTTCTCGCAGTCTGTCCCA